AGATGTAGACCCACGGATGTGGCAACAGGGACTGGTGAGCGATGGGCCTTCGGACTAAGGCTGCCATTCGGAGGCTGTTGGCTGTTGGTTGTTGGCTCTCAGGTTGCTGGCTGTTGATTCCGGTTGTCACCAGTCATTTGTTGGCACAGCTGGATCAGGTTGGATCCCAAGCAAGCTGGCTGTGCGCTTCCATGAGTGTTCCTTTGTAAGATCTCATGGTGAGAAATCATTCGCCCCACCAGGAGAACTGAACTGAACTGAGGATAGCAACTTTGGTAGTAAAGTAGGGTATGTATCCCACCCTCATCTTGTCTCCCTAACACAATAAATAATTCCTCTGTTAATGAGGTCTTTAGTAGAAACAAAGAGGCTAGAATCAAAATGAAAGGCTATGTCAGACTGGAGACTAAGGTGCACCTGATACAGGCCATGGTCTTTGCAATCACTTGCTATATGTCAGAGAGCTGGACAATGACTAGGGAGGATAGAAGGAGAATTGATGCCTTTGAGCTGTGGTGTTGGAGAGGAGTATTGAATATACCATGGACTGCTGGGAGAACAAATAGGTTCATCCTAGAGCGGGTGAAACCAAGCTGCTCCTTGGAGGCAAGGATTCTGAAGCTTTGTTTGAAATACTTTGGACATGTTGCAAGGAGGGGCCAGTCCTTGGAGAGGGACGTCATGCTTGGGAGGGTGGAGGGACAGCTCAGGAGAGGAAGACCCTAGATGAGATGGATTGATTCAGTGACTGGGGTAATAGAGGTAGATGTGTCAGAGACAATAAGATTGACACAGGATAGAACATTGTACACAGGGTCACAGTGAGTCACAGGTGACTCAACGGCACATAACAACAACAATGGATGAAAGGATCATATCCATCGTGGCACACACACTGAGCCCTTAAGCTGACATCCTGCTCTGAAGCACTTTAAACAGCTACAGCCCATTAGTCCAGTACTGAGGATTTTTGTTTTCTTGATGTTGAGGCGTGATTCATACTGAAGACTGCAGTCTGTGGTCTTCAATGAGGCTTCACAGCCTCTTCACCTTCTACAACCAAGGTTGTGTCATCACATAAGGAAGGCTGTTGATGGGTTTTCCTCCAATCTTGATGCCACGTTCCTTTTCATTTAGTTCAGCTCCTAGAATTATTTGCTCAGCAGACAAATAGGAATGACAAGAGGGGACACAACCTTGATGCCCTTTTTTTCTCATAGTCGTAGAAACTGCGTATTGAGAGGGAAGGGGACGTGGTAGCGCAGTGATTGAGCTCTCGGCTGCTGACCAGAAGGTCAAAGATTTGAAGCCACCAGCTGCCGGGAAGGAGAATGCTGAAGCGGTGGCTTCCGCCAGCACTATCGGGCAGGGCAGTCCTCTCTGTCCTGCAAGAGTTCCTGTGGCAGGCAGTGTGTGCACACGGTGCACAGATGCCATTTTACATGGGGTAACATTTAACCTGCTCCCCGACTAAAACAAGCTCAAAAGCAGGAGTGGCATCCAAATCTGAAATAGCTTGTCCCTGGAAACCCTGTGAACCTGGAGAAACGATGAAAGTTAAACGAGTGTTCAGGCCTTTGGTTCATAGGATTGCTGGGTCTTCTACGACTCGACGGCAATAACAACATACTCTAAAATCATAGGTGGTTCTGTTGTCAGTTGCTTTAAGAAATAAAGTCGTATGATACGAAGTATGTGACAAGGAATATTCTCAGTGAATCATTTACAGTTTTCTGGAAGAACTCCCCAGCTCTGTGAAAGTGAGCCTGTGTGGACGTACTCCCTCATTCTGTGAGCGAGCCTGGGACATTTCTCCAACTCTGTGAAGCTGAGTCCGCATAGACGTGGTCTTCGCTCTCTAGGAGTGAGCCTGTGTGACATGCTCCCTTCTTCTGTGAGAGTGAGCCTATGTGAACGTGGTTCTCCGTTCTGTGATAGGAAGTCTGTATGAATAAACGTGGTTCCTGACTCTGTAAAAATGACCTGACGTAGAGTGACCCTGGTATAGACGGAGTTCCTGATTCTGTGAGAGCGAGTCTGTGTAGACAAGGTCCCCTTTCTGTAAGAGTCTTTATAGACAAGCACTCCTCGTCTATGAGAGTGAACCTGTGTAGACATGGCCCAGCTCTATAAGAGTGAACCTGTGTAGATGTCATCCCCAGCTAGTGGGACTGAGTTTCTGTAGACATGATCCAGTTATGTGAGAGTTGAGTCTCTGTAGACACAATCCCCTGAGCAGAGACATACCTCCCAACCATGAAAAACATGGACTGACCTGGATCTTTTGAGACATGAAGGCCCTTGGCTCCTCACATCAGTGGAGGTTGAGGTTCAGATATGCTCTGGGGAGCACAAAACTGAGGTCTTTGAGGACAAGGGTGTGAACGTGTTAGCAGCCACCAGGGCACAGCCTTTAGCTGGACCCATCCCGGACTCAAAGTTAGGGCTGAGCATGAGAGAAGTGGGTGAGCTGGAGTGACAGGAGAGGACAGTGGAGGGATCGCAGGAAGAACTGGCAGGTCTTTGCATTGGCCAGGATAAGAAGTGGCGAGTGTTACAAAGTTCAGGTTCTCATGAAGGCTGACAGGAGAGAAAGGCAGACCAGGACAGTCTGGTGGGAAAAGAGTCCACGTGAGACCGCTTTGCTGGGGGTCTTCAGGAGATGCAGGCCACAGGGCCTGAGGGGTGGCTGTAGACACTTGGACCATTGACTCACAGGGTGACGAGATAGTGAGGAGAGAAAGTCAACTCTCCAGTGGTGTGAAGATGAGAGTACAGGCCAGGGACCAAGGGCAATAGTAGGACAGGTAGAGGAGGGATGGAGCCTGGGCAGAGCCAGTGGGGCTCTCAGAAGAGGCAAAGCCAAGTCCCCAGGCCCCTTCCCCTTGAAGCAGTTGTAAGGAAATCCACTGAAACTGGCCAGCCAGGTGGCTACCCAGGTCATCCAGGTCCACGAGCTGTGTGCCTCCTCCCAGCCCTTCTCCCTGAGCCTGTCTCTCTCCTCTCCATTTCATTACTTGGTGTGCATGATGCATTGTCATGATTCCTCACCTCAGTGTGGTGGGAACAGGGACCTCATTATAGTTCTCACCATAGCCAAATACCTAGAGCAGCACTTTGCTTTTATGAGGCTGTCAGTGGATGATTGCTGGGTGAATGATGGGAGGCGTGATGGATGGGGAGGGATGGACGGATGGATGGGTGGATGGACAGACGGATGGATGGATGGATGGATGGTTTGGTGAGTAGGTAAGTGATATTGGATAGATGAATGTGTGTGTAGGCGGGTAGATGAATGAATGGATGGTTGGGTATATGGACAGATTGGTGGATAGGTGAATGAGTATATGGTGTGTGGGTAGATGGATGAACAAATGGATGAATGGATGGGTGTATGACTGGTTCTGCAGGTTGGTGGATGGGAATGTGTGTGAGTGAACGAGTTGGTAAGTGGATGGGGTGGGTGGCTGGCTAGAGGAATGGATGTGCTTATAGGTGGATGAATGGGTAGGTAGATGGTAGATAGGTAGATAGTGGGTGTATGGGTAGTGGATATACAATAAATAGAGTGTTAAGTGGCTTGCAGGAAGGTTGGCTGGCTGGAGGATGGATGGATGATGGATGGATGGATGGATGGATGGATGGATGGATGGATGGGTGGACGGATGGATGGATGGATGGATGGATGGAAGATGGATGGGTGGACGGATGGATGGATGGATGGATGGAAGATGGATGGGTGGACGGATGGATGGGTAAGTTGTCAAGTAGATTATGGTGAACAGATGAATGAGTGGCAGCAGATGGATGAAGAATGGATGAGTAGATGGATATGTGAGTGATAATGGGTGTATTGAGTGGGTGGACCAGTAGGTTAGAGCCCATGAAAGGATGAGTGGTTGTATAAGTGGAGGGAGGGAGGGAGAGGAGGGTGGCGGGAGGTGGTAGTTGGTGGTTGGGTGGATGGATGGGTGGGTGCTGTTACAGGGAACAGAGGAAGCAGTGGTGTTCCTTTAACCCCAACTTGCTACAATGGCTGTGTTGCTGCCCCTGAGAGAACACAGTTTCTGGTGACATTCATGTCTGCTCCCACATGTTTCTCATTGTCCTTGTTCACGGAGGAGACGCCCCACTGATTGTGAGGAGCAGCACGTCCTCTCAGAAGGCCCTGCTGGAACCTGGAAAGGAAAAAATGCTCATTTCTGGAGGGCACAAATTCTAAAGACGAGATCAGTGCTTTTTTTTAAATCAAGAACATTAAATGTGCCTCTTGACAAACCATTGCTCCACACACGTTTGAAGTCAGAACACTGGCTTTTTAGGAGAGGACTCCTCTGAAGGTCCCTCCCCCAGCTCTCTAGTTGCAAGACTAAGTTCACCAGAGCCTTTCATGGGGCGTCGGAGTGGTGGACACTCTCCTCAGGCAACACTGGGGGTCGGGGTCAGGTGACAGTCTAGAATGATTGGCTGCCCGGGGCTACCAGTGGAGCAACAGAGGGTCTGGTTCTGGGGTTTTGTGAGACCTGGGGCCTGGATGCACCACCCAGGTTAGTGCCCTGTCCGGTGAGCGGCCTGCATGGTGGCCTGGCTGCACGGTGGCCTGCACTGTGTGGTGGCCCGCCCTGCACGGTGGCCTCCTGCCCCACAAGCCCTGGGTAGCTTCAGCGAGCCCATCCGCGGTACGGAGAAAGCGGCTTTGTTCCTGCACACAGGGCTGTATTCATGGCTCCCTTGTTGTTGCAGGAGAGGCAGATGTGAAGCAGCACAATGGGGCCCCCTCTCAGGACGCCCTGGTGACAGACCCCAGTCGCACAGTGGACCCAAAGAATGCCTGGCCGGAGGCCAGCCCAGCTGACCCAGTGAGCCGCCCCCACTTGGTCCGCCTCTTTTCCCGAGATGCCCCAGGCAGGGAGGACAACACCTTCAAAGACAGACCCTCTGAGTCAGAGGAGCTGCAGACCATCCAGGAGGACAGCACAGCGGCCCAGGGCTTGGATGCAATGGCGTCCCAGAAGCGCTCCTCACAGCGGCACGGCTCCAAGTACCTGGCGACGGCCAGCACCATGGACCAAGTGCGCCACGGCTTCCTCCCGAGGCACAGGGACGCGGGCTTCTTCCACTCGCTGGGCCGCTTCTTTTCCGGTGACAGGGCTGTCCCCAAGAGGGGCTCTGGCAAGGTGAGCGCTCAGGAGTAGCTGGCTGGAGGCCACGTGCGGACGTGGTGGTGGCGCGGCGCTGGTGGAGCTGGGACACTGTCCCCAGCTGCCCACATCCTCCGAAGGGCTGCCCTCCCGGCCACCGGCCCTGCTCCTGCTTCCATGTGGCAGGCTTTTCACTTCTCGCGTTTTTTCTGGTCCTCGCAGGGTGGGAATCGGGATGGGCTTGGGGGAGGAGAACATTCTGGACTTTGTGTCTCAGGGGCGTCTTTGTGTCTCGTCAGCCGGGCGCGTGGAAGGCCCAGAGCTGTGTTCCCCGCGTGATGCCCTGGCCTCAGGGTCTGCGGCCCCCTCTGTGTGGTCCTGGCTTGCTGCCTGCTTGCCTGCTTTGTGACAGTGCCACGTTTGCAGCCCAGGGGACATCCATCACCTCCTCAGACCTCGCTCTGCCCTAGGGAATGTTCCCTCCTGTCTGTCGCTTGGGGAACAGGCGGGAGTGAGCGTGCAGAGCATAACGGCGAGTGTCTGGTGGCTCCTGGTGTGGGTGGCCGCTGGCCATGGCCATGGAGGCCGCTCTGTAGGTTGGACTGTCTGTAGGGGAAATGCCCGTGGCTGTGCCCCAGTTGAAGTGGCTTGTCAAGTAGATGTAGTGTGGCTGGAGTGGGTATGGCTTCTCTGAGAGCTGGTCCCCAGGGGCCACAGCGCTGCTGGGGCTGTTAGGGTCCCAGCCACGGGAGTTTGGAGGGAGCAGCTCTTCCTGGAACAACCCGTCCAGGAGCCCTCGCTGCCTCGCTGCTGGGCACAGAGGCTCTCCTGAGTTGAGCATGCTCCATGGCACATCTGGGGGGGATGGAGCTTTTGAAAAGAATCCCAGCCCTTGAGGGGCTGCTGGCCGAGAGGGAGCAGCTCTGCTGTCGCCTGCTGTCCAGGCGGACCCACACGCCCCCTGGGGCATCAGCACCTAAAAGCCCCTGAGCTGAGCTCACTGCTGGAGACCCCTCCCCTCCTGCCTGAGTGTAAATGAACTTGGCATTTCAGCTGCTCATAGGCTTGCAAATATCACCCACCTGCCCTCTCCTGATGCTGTTTTGTCTGGGGGTGCTTGCTCAGTATCCCACTGCCAGCTTGGGGCTGGGCTGGTGATGCGGGGTGCCCTCTGCAGCCCCCAGTGGACCGTCTCTTGGGTGTGCAGCCTACCACTAATGTGCAGTGGAACTCCTGGTCTGCGGCTTACACCGCTCAGTAAAGGGAAACCAGACCTTGTCCTTATAAGCCACGTGACATGTGAGCAGAGCAGGTCAAGGTGAATGAGAGTGAAAGCATTCCATCAACCTGTCAGTCAAGTCCTGACTTTGCCTCCAAGTAGAGATGTTTATAAGTGCAGTATAAATTGTTGAGTGTATATACTATGTAACACATACAGTTACAACCTAGATTATTTTGAATGTTTTACACCCCTCACTGTTTTCAACAGAAGGTTCTGACCTAGCCCTCTTTGCAAGAGTCCCGAGCAGATGATCCGGCACCAAAGCACAATTTTTTAACAGGACTTTAAAAATAACACTGGTTCATAGCCAGCTGGTTTGCAGGTCTGGAGCAGGTCAGTGCAGGACTGCAGGCTGCAAGCGGGCACTGTGTGTGTGGCCAGCATAGGCCATGGCCCCATGGTCGCTCATGGACACAGCTCAGGTCTGGCCCTCGCACAGCGCCCTTGCTTTCGAGGGGCTATGGCAGCACTGGTCAGCTGGGCCACTGCAGCCTGCGCTCTGTCCCTGTGGACAATCTTAAATATAAAGGAGACACGAGCCCGGCAGCTGCCCACACCCTGGAAATCTAGGGTGTTCGTCAGGCACCCAGCCATGGGCTCTGCTTGCCTTTTTGTTGGATTTGCTTCGTTTCTGAGTCAGAGAGCTTGGCTGGGGAGGAAGAACAGGCCTTGCAGATCCCTTTGGTATCCCTCTTGGTGACGTCCAGACCCCAAGTGTGCCCCACCCTCTCCTAACCGTGGGGTCTCGTGTTTGGGCCTTGTGCGCTTGAGGGGTGGAGGCCAGAGTCACCTGCTCTGCGACGTGACCACTGTGATTCTTGTAAATCAGCAGCACATTCTCTGTCGTGGGTTTTTATGGCACAGTGTGTCCTAATCCCGCCGCACGTGGCTTGGTTCTGTCACCCTGTCCGTGGCCTGCGTGCTGTCCTTTACCCATGGGCACTCCAGCTTGCATAGCATAGGGCAGCCTGCTCGGCCTTCTCGGGGGCTGTCCCCGGCGTGCCCCCGCCCCCGTGACGGTCACACGGTGCTGCCTGGTGCCATGGGCCCCCACGTCCCTGGAATGCTCTGGCAGCTTGCCTCTTTTATGTCGTGCTGGCACTGAGAGCAAGTGGCTGCTGACTTCCTCAGGGGCGTGCTGTCCTGAGAGCCACAGTGACAGGTGCACCAGAGAGAAGGCCCTTTGTCATGAGCTGCAGGAAGGGTGCTACCCCCAGGGTCTCATCCTCACGCTGGGGACACTGGGTTGTGTGGGGCATGGACAGGGCGAGAACAAGCAGGAGGCACCAGCTCCATTTCTGAACTGTGTCTCCAAAGTCGCAGGACCCAGCACTGTCCCACAGCAGTTCTGGGTCTGATGTGACTGAGGCCTTTGCAACACAACTCTGCAGACGTCTCCCATCCTGGAAGAAGTCAGGTTTTCCTAACAATTAGCTGGGCCTGGGGACAGTGCGGCCCTCAGCCAACGCCCCACGCAGCTGTGGGGTCCCTCTGCCGTGCCTTGACACGTTAGGAGAGTCCGTTGCTCAGGTCAGCTTGTTGGCTGGTGGATTCTTCAAGCTGACCTGATTGTGTTTATGTTGTAACCTGCTCCTCTCAGCCCCACGGCTCAGCTTCCAGGGAGCTCTGCCATCATTGTGATTTGGTGAGTCAGAACAGCTTCTGCCTTTCATGATAGGAGGCACGGTCAGTAATGTAAATTATCCAGAATGTTCTCTCCCCCGGGACTCCTCCCTCTCATCGCATTCTTGTTTCATTAAACACATCTTCGTTCCGATGTAACCAGTTCCCTCATGGCTTGCATGATATCTTAATTCGTGAATGTTCTCTGTAATTCTGCGGGGACTGTAACGTGTGCACATGGGAAGAAGGACATGGTAGGCGGCTCAGCAAGACACTGATGGGTGTGGTCCCCGTGTCCCCACACTCCCCAGCCAGGCGCACAGTGGCCGGGAGCTGCACGCACTTATTTTCACTTTTGGCTCTTCACTCACAAGAGTATCGCAGGGCTTGAGCGTTGAACTCCTTTAATCTATCAAATCGACAGCAGCAACTCAAAGTCAGATGGGAGGCTTAGGAACAGTTTATATTAATGGAGGAAGAACATGTAATCACTTCCATGAAAGCACAACCCTTTGTCGTGACACCAGAACTGGATGGTCCCAGCCACCGTTACTGAACATTTGGATCAAAGATTTTATAGAAAACTCTGCATTAAAACAGGAGATTGTAAAACAAAATGTCAACTCTTCGTGGATTCCACACCTGATGGAACCTTGGTTCCTAGATGAATTCCTGAAATTAAACCTTAAACTAAAAATATACTCTGACATCTTAAAACTGAAGAGTTGTTTAGCTTAAATATTAGCAAATTTATGCCTTGAGCATTATGTTCTTTTAAGAACTGACCATATGGTATCAAATTGACAACAGCAACTCAAACACTGAGAGGAGTCTTATCAGATAGTGACTTTAGGTTAAGGAAGAAAAACTCAGAAAAAGGCAGGTGGCCATGTTCACACAATTTGAAGAATATAATCAATGTAGCAAATTGGGTGTATGGAAATTGCTGGAATGTTGTGAGTTCTGTTGTGTATATTCTCAGCAACAACAGCACAATAAATTCTTTTAAAACAGTGCAGCCGTGCACACAGACCCACCTTCAGTCACAGCGTGAATCTACGTGGCTGTGACCTAGAGCCCCTTAGACAGTCAGCTGGCTGGGGTATTGGGTCACAGACCCTGAAGAATAATACAGACACGGGACTCTAACTTTCCTGCACTGAGCAAATCCTGTTGGAGAATTCTTACGCATAACATCCCCTGATAAGTTGTCTGATGGAGCTGTAACTGGGCTCACTGACCAGCTCCCTACAATGTCCTTCAGTCGTCTCAGTAGCCCGACTGTCCACTGTTCGAGAGCTGGCAGTCCAGTGACTTTTGCGACCCTCTGAGTGTGTTTTCCGTATCACCATACTTCTGTAAATGACATTCATGTATCTGCTGGTGATTGCTTTCTCGTGATTGTATTACAGTTTGATTTTTGTCATGAACATTTGCTTTTTATCTGTTTCTGCTTTTTATGCATTAATTAAAATTTATGAGACTAAAACTGGTGTGTTAACTGTTGGGGAGTTTTTGAAAAGATTTGTTTTGGTGTCACCACACGCGTGAGCATGTTACATGGCAGGTCGTTTCCTACCTCATGCCTCAGCCACCAACAGGTAGGTAAGTTTGGGGACCTGACATGAAACCCTTCCACGCACAGGGATCCTTGTGGCCCCTTTCTCCCCTTCGATACACAAAGAACAAAGAGGTAGTACTTTCTCTCCATGATGAGGTCCAGGTATGCTAGCCCTTCTCTTGTACGTGTTGAGCATGTTGAATGCCTGTCACTCAGCACTTCCCCACAGTTGGGGGATGTGGGACTGAGCACAGCCTCTTTTCCTTTTGTTCTGTCTGGAACTCAACAGACTGAGTGAGTATTTGCTGGATAAATTGGCAAATGGTAGACTGACTCCCTCTTCCCTCACTAAGGATGGGGGGGGGGCATTTGAGGAAGTGTAGCAGAGGTGAGCTGGCTTTCTTCAAGAATGCATTGTCTTTCCAAGATTAAGGGTAATTCTGGTATTGTTTACACAATAAAATAAATGCAGAGACCATTGAACTAATGTCGTCCACTTCTCACCTGTTAATGGTGTCTGTAGACTCACCTCGTCCATTTACATTGGTTTTCACCCGTTCTCACTGCCTTCTCTATGGGGGTCAGCTTTGGCTAACAGGAGGCTCTGGTTCGTCAATAGAGATCTTAACTGGACATTGAGGGGAGACAGTGTGATCAACAGAGCATTCATGGGCGACACTAAAATATTTAGTCTTTAAAAATTGTCAGCATTTCTTATCAAACTCTAATTTAGTACATTGTCTTAGTGTCGTTCCACTTTTTTACCTATCTCTGCCCTCCTAAGTTCTCTGGGATCATGTTCATAAAATACCTAAAAGGGGAAAAATAATGGCTAAATAAGAGGGAGATTTTCTGATGGCACCCCGTGAGCGATGGTTTTAACGTAGGCCGTTTATCACCACACCGCTCTGCACTCCTGTCCGCCCTGCCTTCAGGGGAATCCCTGGTTTACGGAATAGCTTCTTTTCCCAGTTCTTGTGCTGAAGTGATTTTTAATCAGAGGTGCCTGCTTGCCCCAACGCAGCACAGCTTTCTCTGTTGACCTCACAGAGATGAACCAATGTTCACCTCTCCTCCTATGACCACTTGTTTAGGAACCAGTGGGCTCTCAAGTGGCCCCAAACCTCAAAGCTGTGGACTTTTCTACCAGCCTAGTGTGTGGTAACCAAGGGTTCAAAAAGCCCACTGGTCTAGGAAGCTGACCAGAAGCCCATAGGCCACTTGATCATGTCCTAATGTGGAATCCAGACTTTCTGGAGCTATGGAGGCTGGAAGAACCCAAGATAATCTTTAAACAAACAAAAAAAAAAACTCTCCCTTAAATCCCTGTTGTTTTTAACAAAAAATTTCAAACTTAATTTTTAAAAATAAACCTATTTTTTTAAAACCTTAAACAGTTTTGTGTTAACTAGTGAAAAAAAAAGTCCCAAACATGCCTTGTGCAATAAGCTCTTTTAAACGACTGTCTATGTGGAGTCAAGCTGACAATAGCCTGGATGATTAGATACTTTAGAGGCAATGAGTTTATGTTCATGGAGAATGAACAACTCAGAGAAGTGAGAATGAAACATGACTCCAGGAATGTCACTGGCATCACTGAATTAAACTGAGGAGCTGGGGTGTGTTGTTGGGAGTTTTGTTGTGTGTATTTCTCAACAAGTAAATTATTTCTAGAAGGAAGAGGGGTACTGTGTTAAATAAGAGAAAATGGAAGATTCTTGTCTTGTGACTGGGTCTAATCCTGACTTAGTGCAAGTCCAGAGGAGCCAAGAGACAGTAATGATCAGAGTAGGACCTGGGCGCCTGGCCTTGCCACCACCATCACCTCAGCATTCAGCATGCAGTGTGCCCCCCTTCCTGTCATCCCAGCGCACAGCAGGCTGCCCTCTGCTTGCAGAGGTGGTAGCTGTGCCCAGGGCTGCCTCACCTTTAACCCTTTAGAGAGGCTGCAGGATTGAGCTGCTGGCTGCCAGCCTTGCTGTTTGCATCCTGGTGTGTAATTACACCTACCCCACAGCCCCGCAGCCAGGCGCCTGAGGTAACGGTGGTCCTCCCAGCACACAGAAAACCTCTCCTGCATGGAGAACCTGTTGGGGGGCGGGGTATCAGCTGAACTCACACCAGGATACACTTGCCTGTGAAATGCTGGCATGGTAACACTTGTCATGGTAGTTCTCAAACACTAGAATCTTCTCTCCATGGCTGATACTGGTATTCTAGTCTTTCTCTGAGTATCCTGTCCACTGCGTCTCTGTAGTGTAACCAGCTGGAATCTCTCTCCCTCTCTGTCTCTCTTTCCTCCTCCTTCTCCTCCTTCTCTTTCTCCTCCTCTTTCTTCTCCTCCTTCTCCCTCTCCCTGTCCCTTCCCCTCTCTCACTCTCCTTCTCTCATGCACACACATACGCATTCAGGCACACCTCAGAAATACGGCTTTCATTCCAGAGCACCACAGTCAATCAAGTGCTGCAGTGAAGCCAGTCTCCGTGAGTTTTCAGTTTCCTGGTTCACGTAGACTTAGCTCTTCACGTTACTGTAGTCTCTTAAGTGTGCGGAACATGGACAGTTAGAAATGTTGCCCGAGTGAGACACACAGAAAAGAAGGGAACGTGTGATGTGCTGCTTGAAAAATTAGCCCAATAGACTTGCTCAGCTCAGGGGTTTCCACAGACTTTCAATTTTTGGGGGGAGGGAACCCAAACACATCAAACACATCAAACAACCCAACACATCAAAACCACATGATGTCTGTCACGTGCAGTAGGTGAGGTGTGGCCGCAGAGAGAATCCGGTCATTTCCCTCCATCCTGCCGCTGTGTTCTTTGGCTTCCTCTCTCAAGGGTGGGTGGGTGGCAGGTGGATGCATCTGTTAGGAGCAAATGAGTTCCAGGAGTCAGGACAGCAGAGTGGGAGGAAGCAACTCTCTCAGAGTTGTCCCTGAACTTCACCCATGGAAAAAAAAAACACAACAGTTCCAGACTCTTGTGGTGACGTAACACGTAACCGTAAAGTGGCTCCTGTGCACCAGGGAAGCCAGCTCCATGCTCGCCCAGACCCCGCCCGTTCACAGCCGCCTCCATCCGCTCCCAGGCTGGAAACATTTGTGGGGGAGACTGCTCCTCTTTCTCCCTTGGGGCAGTGGGTGATTCGAACTGCTGATTTCTCAGTTGGCAGCCACTCAACACCAAGCATTCACCACCAAGGGCCTTTGCACAGACCCCCAGGAAACAGGCATTGTGGTTGTGGGAGCATCCAGTATGGATGCAGACACACCTGGCAGGAGAAAGTCATTTCTACAGACTCTGTGAGCAAAACGAAGAGTGCAGAGTAGACTCAGAAACACTCTGAAAAGGTGACATGAGTCAGAAGGCATGGCTGCCCAGGACAGGGCCAGCAGGTGACCAAAAGGTGCCTTCTCCAGACACCTGTTGTCTTTTCAGTCTTGTTTAACTCTTTTGTTTCTGGTTGTTTGTATTGGTTCACATACAAACTTCATCCACATTGTGTTTCACACGTTCCTTCATTCACATGTGTCTCATGCAATCATTCCCATACATTGTGTTTTATAAAATTAATCACCATTGAACTAGACCCACCAGTACCCCATCTTTTCAGGGGACCACTGGATCTCTCCCATTTCCTACACTCTCTCCTTCTGGTCCCACCCTCACCCCTCTGCCCACCCTGCCCCCTCCGCCCCCACTCCCGCCCCTTCACCCACTTTCACCCCTGTGCACACCCTCACCACTCGGTTGCTACCTCCCTGCCCTCTCTGTTCCACCCCTGCCCCCTCTGCCCTTTGATCTTAGAGCCTCCTTCATGCCATTTCCTCACTGTTGTCCAGCTGCCCTTCTGTTGAACATCGGTCTTGCCTTCCCATAGCTCCCCCAGCCTGGGTGGCCAGCTCTGGAGTGGAGGTGTGGTGCCCCGTGTGACCCACGCCTGCACTCCACTCACCGGCCACTCTGTGTCCCCCGGCAGGTACCCTGGCTAAAGTCGGGCAGGAGCTCTTCTGTGCCTGCCTCTCCCCACAGCCCGCCGGGGCTGTGCAGCTTGTACAAGGTAAGGAGGGCGCCGGGCCCCAGCGGTCAGCATGTGGAACATTGTCCTCCCTCGTGGCAATGCTGTGAGCACAGGCGAGTTCTCTGAGCCTCAGGCTGTGTCACGGGGCACCACAGACACGTGTCCTCACGGACAGTGTCACAGGACACAAGGGGACATCACGGGCACTGTCACGGGCAAACGTCATTACGGGCTGTGTCATGGGGCACACGTGGTCATCATGGGCAGTGTCACAGGGCACACATGGACATCACAGACAATGTCAGGAGCACACATGGACACCACGGGCAGTGTCACAGGGCACACGTGGACACCAAGGGCAGTGTCACAGGGCACACGTGGACACCACGGGCAGTGTCACAGGGCACACGTGGACACCACCGTCAGTGTCACAGGGCACACGTGGACACCACGGGCAGTGTCACAGGGCACACATGGACACCATGGGCAGTGTCACAGGGCACACGTCATCATGGGTAGTGTCACAGGATGCTCATGTCATCACAGTGTTGGGGGCACACATGGACACCATGGGCAGAGTCACAGGGCACATGTCCCATGTCCCCAAGCTGTGGCACCACAGGTAAGCCTGATTCTGAGGGAAAACAAGAGGAATGTGGGGAGACAGGAGACCTCTACGGGGAGGTGGGAACCCCCACGAGTCATGAAGTGTCGGGGTGCCTGGGATTCCCATCTGGGCAATAGAAGTACATCCCTGGAAGAAGCAGAGGAGACGTGGGCCGTCAGCGGGGCCCCGTGGGCAGCAGGCCTGTCCTGGAAGGGCTCTGCCTGATGCCACAGCTGCCCATCTTCATGGAGACCGGGGCCTGGAGAGGATGGTGCTCACCAGGAGCTGCAGGCCTGACAGGCTCCCACGGTGGGAGCGCTCAGCAGCTCACCCACAGCTGCGGGCACCAGCCCCCCGTGTATACCTCAGAGGAAAGCCCCTCACCAGCTACGAGGGACCTGTGAGGCATGTGAGTACCCGCTCACATGGCTCAGTGGCAGGGCCGCTGGCTGGTGAGACGTACAGACACAGGTGTCGTGGGTTCGGCCCCTACCACCTCAGTAAAGCCAGCCCTGCAGGATAGCCAGTCGCACACTGTCCCCGACGCGTGGACGGTGGAGCACACCCGAGTGCAGGGAGATGCTGAGGGTGACCCAGGATGCCAAGTGAGCCCCGCAGGCACATGGGCCTGACCAGGTTGTCAGACCTCAGTGTGACTGGGAACCAGCTGAGGTCTGCCTGTGTCAGCCAAGGTGGGGGACAGCTGGGCCAGTCCTTGCAAAGCCAGACCCCTCCGTAGCGGGGGCTACGGAGGAGGGAGGATACTCCTGCCAGAGCAGGTGAATGGGGACAAGGTTGGAGCGCAGAGCACCCTGAACCCCTCAAGGTAGGGATTGAACCGGCTTCTCCCCATGCCTGTCTGCTGTCCACTCCACTGGCCCAGTGCCCCGGCAGTGCTGTGTCCTCACAGTACTCGGCACCAGACCCTTCACCCAGGGGTGTGCAGAAGGTTGAGGTTGCGGGCTTGAGACCACCAGGGTGCAGAAACCTGAACACAGGTGCGCAGGAGTGTGGGGGGAGCAGACAGCTCTGTACCAGGTGCGTGAAAGGGCACGAGACCAGGGGGCTCAGGCAGCACCTGTGGCAAACGCCGGAGGAAGGAGGGCTCCTCCGAGGAAAGGGTCAGTGGGGGGGTGACCCCACCCCCAGGTCTCAGAAGGTCATTGTGGTGGGCAGGAGGGTCATCAGGCACTGGTAGGGACCAAGTGAAGCAGGACCCCAGCCACCCAGGAGCAGTGTGGGTACAGAGGTGCCCACTGGCCTCCAGGTTGGCAGTTCAGGTGGAGAGGCCCAGAGCCCAGGGGAGAGGATGGAGCTGATACCAGAACACTGCTGAAGAGAGGGTGTGTGTGTCCAGAATATAAGGGAATGGGTGAGACTGTGTGTGTGTGCACGTGCATGTGTGTCAACATGTGTGTGAGCACACGTGTGTGAATGCATGTGAGCATGTGGTATCCCATGTTACACACAGATACACCCACCGGCCCCTGGCACCGCGGGACATGTGCAGGCCGAGAGGGAAGAGGTCTGCACGCCTTGCGGTCACCCTGTGTGGACCTCGCAGTTCTGACAGGTGCCCCTGTGGGGCCGGGGTCATGGACAGCAGCTGGCCTTCGGTCCAGGGCCTTTGCCCTGACTCAGTGTCCCTTCCCCAGATGAAATTGTCAGATGGGATGAGCACACTCCTTTCTCCAGGGCCACCTTGGTTGTGTCTAAGGGACCCTGAAGGCCATGTGTAGTGACCAGAGGACACTGGCCAGCTTCCTGGGATCCACCGCTGACTTTTCAGTTAGCAGCATGCCGGAGAGCACTGCCGGCGGTCACACCCAGCGCTGCTGCCAGCACTGTTAGGGCTTGGACAAAGCCCCAGGCCTCAGTGCTGGACAGCAGAGGCCTCGGCTCGACCACAGCAGCCCTTCATGGCCTCACACTGGGGGTAGAGAAGATGGCAGGGCCGCTGTGCCAGGCGTCCTGTGGCTGCTGAGACCAGGCGAGGGTCTGTGGTGGCCAGGCGAGGACTTGGCTACCCAGGCCTGCAGTGACCTCGCTCATTCCTGGCACCTGAAGAACCGGCAGCACATCCAGGTGTGGACTCATCTGGATGGGTGGACAGCGATGACCCCGGCAGGGATGAGAGCAGTCACTTGAAGGGCTTCTCCTCACAGCATCGCTGGAACCAGGCCGCAGGCGCTGCACCGCAGGCCAGGTCCTGATCAGCAGTGTCTGGAAGGCTGCTTGGTTCACACCCTCGTGCACCCTGGCCTCCTGCCCTGGGAGCGGCCTCGTGCCCAGGCCTGCAGGTCACTAGCAGGTGGGACAGGCAGTCCCTTCAGAGAAGCCTGGATCCAACCCCGTCTCCAGCCACTGGAGGAAAGCTCTGTGGAGAGGAGACCCAAGCCAGGCGCACCCCACTGCAGCCACTGAAGTAGAAGCCTGAAGTGCACAGAAAGGGGGCCTCTGACAGGGAGAGGAGGTCTGCTTGAATAGAAGGTTGAGGGGGCCTCCGGCCACGGCCACCCAAGCGAGCTCCACGTCAGTGAGCTCCTCCATTCCCCTTGCCTGGGAACATGTCTGCGCCCACAGTCACCAGGCCCCCACTTTCTGTTTGGATCCAAGGAGTGTGTGTAAATCCCACCAGGCTGCTTTCTAGGAAGGAGGAGCTGACGCCTTCACTCATCTCGCTCGACTCGTTAACTCGGCACAAACATATTCTTGGGCTCCGCAAAGGACCAGCACACGTGGACACTGCACATCAAGACAGAAAGGCCTCGCTCCACATCGCCAAGCTGGGACCCTGCGGCCTTGAGGGGAGAAGGCTCACTCCCAGGTTTGCAGGGAGTTGTCGGGTCAGAGCCATCACCACGCTTCTGTGAAAGCTCCCAAGGGGCAGGGGGAGGTGTAGACAGAGAGGGCTGGGGGGCGGGGTGTGGGGGGAGGGGGAAGTGCAGGGCTGGGGGAAGCCACATCGCCTGCCTCCAAGCTGAGCTGAGGGAGAGACCTCAGCTCCTGGGACTCGCTGCACAGAGGCACTGTCCCATCAGCACCTCTCACCTGCTGGCTGAACTGGACACCAAGGTACCCCATGTTCCCATCACGTGGCTGACGGCAGGACAGGGCTGTCTGTTCAGGTGGGAAAGAAGTGGATCCACCAAGACAGACGAGTCCTCGGGTAGCAAGCAGGAAGCCGTGCACCGGGCCCTGTTCTGGAAGTTTCTGCCGAGCAAAGAGAGCTAAGGAAGAGCCCACTTCCTGGTGACCGTGTTACGGGACTCTCAGCACTCACTGGACAAAGAAGTGCGCCCTCCACTGTGCACCCAGCGAGCTGCTAACCAGGTCAGAGGTTCAGGGCCACCCAGAGGTGGCATCCCACCTGTGCCCCACAGGAGCTAGTGTGTGAGGAGAAAGGCCGGGCGTTTGTTTCCAACCAACTGAGCACTGAAGGCGCAGACGGTACAGGCCATTGTGTGGGGTCTGCTCTCCTCACTGAAGCAGGAACTGGCCACGTCCTGGCCTCAGCGATTAACTAGTCCTTCGAGTTATTCATCTAATGAATAGACCCACGTCCTTGAAAATAACCGGGACAAGAGGTTGAGCTCATCCTCCACGTGCAGTTTGTACTTGTCTGTCTCCGAATCTGTGGCCTTCGAACCGATGGCCTGGAACCAACCTCCATCACGTCCCTGTGGTCTCGTGGGAGCCAGAGTCTCATCTTCCTCCCATGACCGGCTGGTGGACGTGAAATGCAACCCACATGCATCACCACTAAGCCCGCAGGCTCCCATCAGAGCCACAGTGTCCCCTCCCTGGCCACATAGAGCAGTGGGCAGTGCCAAGATCCCCGGGTAAGACTGCTGTTGGGACATGACCCCCACGGCATGCACCCCTTTTCCCTCGTCAGAGCACAGCTTGGCTCACTGGTTGCAGCTTTGCTGGGAGGTGAATGGACACTGAGGAAGAAACCACACAGCATCCTGACGTCCACTCATGCCCAACGTGGCCTCGACAGGGCTGACCGCAACATCCTGCCTGCTGTGGGCCCCTGGGGGAGGCTGGCGCTCTCAGCATCCAGCAGACATGCGTCGTGCAGGGTCCTGGCCCAAGGGCAGGTGGCAGGCGTGTCACTAACCCTCAGCCTCCAAGTCCACATCTGTGACCTGGGGCTTAAGTCTGAGCAGACTGGACACAGGCGTGGCCAGTAAGAGAGGTGCCAGGTCTGCCTGGGTGTGATGGTGCTCGGGGCAGTGTATAAAACAGGTGCCAGGTCTGCCCAGGTATGGTGGTGCCCAGGGTGGCAAATAAAGCTGGTACCAAGTCTTTCCAGGTGCAGTGGTGCCCATGGTGGTGAATAACACAGGTGCCAGGTCTGCCCAGGTGTGATGATGCCCAGGACAGTGTATAAAGCAGGTGCCAGGTCTGCCCAGCCGTGCTTGTG